ACATACATACATATGTTATGTATATACACACACCGATACAGGCTAAGAAACGCAACGCAGAGTCCTCGTAAGAAGTGCCTTGGATTCTCTGAGTCTCTTGCGGTCTCGGCCTAGGGTTTACGGGTTCAGGGTACAGAGGGCTTAGCGGCTTCGTTGCTAAAGATCATCAGATGTATGTAGCTCGAAAATTGCACGAAAGTGCCACCGGGCCGCTCGGTAGATCCAGCCTCAGCCATAATGCTGTGCGTTGGGACTCTTTTCCGTAAGCTTCATTGCAGCGCATCAGAGTTTCCGGGGGTTTCCTTCCATTACACGATTTGGTTGGCAGCACTGCTTTATTTGGAGGGATGCCACGGCTCTAAAAAACACCATCAAAACATTTCTGTCGGAGCTTTCTTCTGAGGCAACGCCTTCGTAAGGCATTGGAAGCCCAGGAACTGCCAAATGCATCTCGGACGGCATTCCGGAGCTTGACTTCGAGCTTTTTGGAGGTACCGGACTGTTCTGAGTCTGTCTGAGAGTCTGATCCAAACTCTTAGAAGTCGCAGAAGTGTCCATGGTCGCCGTAGGCTTCAGTAGGTGTTCAAAGGCTGCAAAAAGGCTGGGTGTTGTTGTTTCAAGCCCATGGCTTTTCGCCGAGGTTGACGACAAAGTAATTTGGACAAAGGGCTGAAGGACGCGCAGGAGGTTCAGGGGCAAGAGGACGAGCGTCAATGTAGTGTCGAAGAGTGTCAGGAGAAGGCACCTCGGTTTTCATGATTCAAAACTCCCAATTGAAATCCTTGTGGCTCGTTCTGACGTGCCGAGGGGCAGTGTGAGGGTTATGAACATCATGACGATCATCGTGGTGGAGGCGGCTCCCACTTGACTTTTCACCGTAATGCGCAGATCGGCCTTGTACCAGCCTGGTGCTCACCCAGGCTAGCAGCGATTGCCAGGCAGAAGACTCGAACCTGCCCCCGTCTCGAGCTGATTGAAAATCATGCGGATGTGCATCCGGGTGCCGCAGCGGCCACGCGCCTGAGTCGCTCAGGACGGAAGCGGTGGTGCTTCTCATTTAAGCCAAGGGCCCCGAGGGTTGCAGAAACGCATCTAGCATCGAGGGAGAGGGAGTTGCTGCATTGTCCATGCCACTGAGCTGCGCTTTTGTGCCCAGGCGACGATGGAACCTTGGCAGGATTCGTAAGAAGGGGCAAGCCGCTCGAAAGAGACTTGGGCAATTCGAAGGAGTCTAGAGAATTTCGACAACACGGAGCGAACGGCTCGAAAGGGACTAGCCGGTGCCACATGAACATAATGCTTGCAGAAGCTACTCCGTGGAGCCGGTGACCAGTGCAAGCAGGAGACAAACCCAATCTGGTACAACACTGAGATGTATTCGGGCTTGCAGAGCCCAATGAGACTGAAGTGGTGGTTCCTGCACTCCAAGTTCAAGTAGCCTGCACGGACAGGTACGGAGGGCAAAGATCACTGCTGCTTGCATCTACTTGCCTCTCACCGGGAATTGGAGCTCTGAGAGATGACTTTCGGCAAAGTCCAGGAACTCCTGCAAAGGGCCAAGGAAGACACAGGGCAACCTTCCTTCGTTTCTGGGCGTCCTTTGCACTTAGCGACTGATTGCCGTCGGCGTGATCGTCATGGTTTATCTCGGCAAGCAGCTCAGTGCTTTTGACTTTTGATTGCCGTGGCAGCAGAAGCACTAATCACACCAATCGCTGCCAGCTTAAGAACGAAATCACGACTCGAGCGAAGTGGCCATAAAAGAGGGCGGGGGTGATCGAATAAAGGTTGTGTTTCAACCGTCAGCTTCTCATCAGTGCGAGCTCTGAGACGCCCCATCCCTGGTGCTGGAACAGCTTCCTTGCCGCATTGACCCTTGTTCAGCTTGTACCTTGATCCCTATAACACAAACCCCGCAACTTAGCTTCAGAAAAGTTGCTGTCTGCCAGAGCCTCTCCAAGCTATCACCTCAGCAGACTGCCCAAAAGGGGCAACAGACGGAGCCCCGCTGAATGCAACAGTTGATACATCTTAGGATGTGCCCTATGGGGTTCAGGTCTGGCTAGATGTATAGCCTTGCGGTTGGATGCAGGGTTTTGGTCTTGGAACATCGAGTCTAGGGCCTAGGGTTTGAGGTTTATTTCTTGTAGGAACGACTGCTGTGGAAGATCGCCGCGCTACCTACACAAGCAAAGGGCCAGCTCCAAGGAAAGACAAGGACACGACAAGCCTAATCTCTCGGAGACTTCGGATTCCATCAAGTTTTGTTGGAAAGGCCTCTTTTTCCTATTAGAAGCCCAACACTCTCATGAAGGTTCCGGGCGGCCTGGGCCCGTGGTACAGCGCAGTGCAGCCAAGCAGCCTGTGACGTTTGGCATAACTTCCTCGGCTCGACTGTCGTCGCAGGGGAGGAGTCGAAAGGAAGGGAAGCTGGCATCTCTAGAAGACTCTAGAATCCTTGAATCATCTCCTTATGTAAACAAGCGGGAAGAGATTGATAGATCCGACCTCAATCCCCCTGTATCTTCTCTCCAGGTGTCCTTCAGCATTGCCTCCGCCGAGTGCTTGCCCATGCTGGTGCTTCCCTGGCCTGACCATAATCAAAGAAACGCTCGACTTCAACAGCCGTGCTGCACAGCTTTGGAGCCTATGTGACGGGACCAGAGATCTCGCAGAAGCCCTGCAACATCGCTGTTGTCGAAGCAGCCTTTTAGCACATGGCGAGAAAGGAGCTTGAGCTCGAAGAAGGTTCAGGCGCCTGGTCCGTAGTACTGATCATCTTCTTCGACCTTCTCCCGTTCCTCCTCTCCTCAGCAGAAAGCCCAGCACCCCACACAAACCACCCCAAAAGGACCAAGAGCCCAAGCCAAGGCGCGCTGAGTTGCGTTCCACTGGATCGGCTGCCGGGAACTCCCAGGGCCCTCACGGCTTCCGGATTCCAGAAGGCCTCGGCTCTTCATCGGCGACTCTCGCGGAGCAGAAACTCTGAGGAGTCAGAGACCTGAGCGCCGGGCTTCCGCCAGGTGGAGCCTTCAAGGGGACAGAGCCACAAAAAGAGGCCCCTATGGGGTTTAGGGGGCCTTCCTTCCCCACGCCTCCAGGTCAAGCAGCCAAGGATTTCCTGGCTGCAGTTCAGCTTCGCACGCCCGACTGAGAAAAAAAAGACGACGCCCTGGGCAAAGCCAAGCCGGGAAAGCGTCGGTGGAGCCGAGGGGAGCCACGCCCTGACAGCTGCGGAGGCTTTTTATATGGAAAGATCTCAGATCTTTGAAGCCGAGGAAGCCATGAGAGTTTCAGAAGCGTTTCTACTCCCTAGGCCCCAGTCTAGTAGGGGGGTCCCCTTACTTCCAGAAGCTTCCAGAATGCTGGAAAGACGGCTCAGGCCAGGACCTTGCAGCGGCTGTGGGTCATCCTGACTTCGGCATGTAAGAGACATGCCGGGCATCAGAGGAGGCTGGTCCTCCGGCGGCTCGGGATCCAGATGGAGGGCCCTGGTGATCTTGCCCATGCCCCTCTGCGTCTCTTGCCTGGGTTTCCGGTGTGGGCATGGAAGATCATGCAGGCCAGACATACCTGCTCAAGGCTCTGAATGCAAGTTTGGGCTATAGTTTCACGTTAGTTCCACCCAAAGCACGCATCCTTGTGGAGCTGCACGAGTCGCTGGGTGATGGCAGTCTGCAAACAAGGGAATTCCAACAGACCAGGTGTTTACCAGGCGCGCCCTTGTTCCACAACTCGGCCCTGCCTGACCGTGACCGCGGTTTGGAAAAAAATCGAAGTCCTCGATTCTTGCTCGTCGGCTTGCAGGCATAGGGTGTCTGTGTACTTGTCATCATGTCATAATGTGAAAGCCTCACAGATGCAGGTGGCGTGGCCCGATTTGAACGAGCTGCTGGGTGCAGGCCGCTGCCGGCAGTCGCTTTATTGACGACCTCCTCGTCAAACCTGCTGGCATCACAGCAGAAGAAGCAAAAAAGCGAAAGCCCCTCAACCCAAAATCAAGACCTTTGACCCTGCAGTAGCAGCCAGAAAGTTGGAACCATCATTATCTTCTAAAGGTTCATGAAATGTTCCTGGCAATCCCAGAGATTCCCTGCCGAGCTACGCGGTCACGTTGCCCCAGGGCACCTTCTTCGGATCGTCGCCTCAAGGACACCGAGGCTCCCAGAGTTTTGGGTGTTGGGGGGCTTGTAGAGCCTTGAAATCTTGCAAAAGCTTTGGGGGGTTAAGGCTGTAGGGTTTCTATGGTACAAGGTAGGTTTTTTAGGTGGCCATATTGTCATGGAGGATAAGTTGCAGCCGGAGGCTCCGATGGCCACGTGGTTCTGGAAGAAGATGTCACCTCAGGTTCAGCGAGCAGGAAACGGTAAAAGCTGAGAGGGCTTAGGGTTTCCGGCTTCCGATTCAGGAGCTCCTTGGGTCGAGATGCTGCAGATGGTCTGCATAGCCCGACGTCGTTCGTTGGCAAGCTCCTGCCCGCAACCCCGAGGCTTGGAAGACCTTGGTCTGCCTGGCATGCGCTCCCCCCCTTTTTGTCCTTAGAAGCATCGTTGACCTTCGTCTCGAAGATGCCTGCACTTAGCATTGCAAGTTGCTTTTCCCGAACGTGCTGCGAAGGATGTGTGCATTGACGTGGTTTCTACAGGACGGGTTGGTGCTGGATGGATGGTCTGGTTCGCGGCATGATGTTGGATGTGAGGTCGTCGTCAGGCTGATGGATCTCAAGGTGGGAGGTTTTCGTCAGGTTGCATCTTAATGAATCCAGGCTAATGTGTGCTAATGCACTGCAGCGGTCGCTGCACCTCCCTAAACGACGCTGCGCATGTGATGCCGTGACTACTTGTCCTCGGGTCTGACAACCCTAACCCTCTGCCCTCTGCTGGCGATGGCGTGCTTGGGCAGGCGAAACAGTTCTGTGCGTGTAGTGCCACTGCGATTCGTCATCGGACTGACAACCCTTTCGGAGGAAAGCGCGATTCATTATCAACTCCCAGGCATTCGCCTGAATCTGATAACCCTCTCGGTGCTCCCGGCCGGTCCGAGTGCTGCATGTGTGGTGCTGCGTTGGTTCTTCTGTTTCGACAAGTCTGAATCCTGCCAGTACATGGGGGATGACTGCTGGCGACGGAACCATTTCGGCCATGCTCGTGAATCCCGCCGATAGATTCGTGCTCGGTCGTGTCTGACTCTGAATCCCGCAAGGACACGGAGAGGCTTTTTGGCGGTGAGTCTGAATCCCGCCAGAACATCGGGGGAAGCATCTTGGTCGCGCGAAATCGCGCTACGCTTGTGGTGCCGCAACGATTCATGCCGGGAATTGGCGACCCTCTCGGCGGTGCACCCAGCGTGTTCACATCCTCCAGTGAGCGCGATCGATTGTAAATTTCAACACGTTGGGCCTCGCGTGCGTGCGGTCCGCGTTGATTTCTGCCTCGGAAGGTCTGAACCAACCAGTAGAGTTGGGGGGGAGGGAAAACATGCTGGACCGACATCCAGAGGGATGGATGGATGGATGGATGGACGGATGCATAGATGCCGTAAATGGGTGGAGGAACGGATGGGAGGGATGCGATGATGTCAGGTGACGTGTGCAGTGCTGGCTACCTGCTACCTCGCTGCTCCAAGCCCGGACGCTCGCTCTCTAGCGTCAGTGCGGCCGACTTTCTGTGGCTCTCCGAATCCATCCTGGCCTTTCTTGCCCGTGCCAAAGACGTTGTCGGAGTCGCTGTCCGGAAGGTTTCGGTTCATCTCGGCTTCGCAGAAGCTGACTCCACTCGCATGCCAGCCGGGTGAGTGACACGCCAAAACAAAACGGACGGCGGAGGTGGAAAGCGATGATGCACGGAAGCGCCCTTCCATGCATGGAGTCCCCTTCTTGCAGGCAAGTATCAGCCGGGTCCCACTCAGCACCTGGGCACGAGAGCTTAAGTGCCCCTCTTCCTATGGCGGTCCAAGCAGGTCCAAGCCTGAAAGCCGGTTCACCACGACGTCAAAGAGCTTGCACTCCCACACGGCCTGCGACTAGATGTCCGAGGCTAGAGGACTGAAAAGGAAGCCGAGTAATGGGAGCAGAACCGGGCCTTCATGGAGGTGCTGACGAAGGACTGCAGGGATGCACAAGAAGCTGAACAGCAAATACCGTGCTCCGGGCTGCGATGCTTCAGGGGCCTGATCCCGGCAGCGGTCGTTGAAGATGGTGAGTGTCGAGGCCACATCGTCAACGTGCAACAGCTCCTTGCTTCGGCCAGTACTGGCAGATGAGATGGACAGACGGACGAGCTGACACGGCCCGGGTTTTTCGACATCCGCGCATCTGCGCACAAAGCAGCAAACTTCTGTACTTCGGATCGGTTCATGGCAGCTCCAGCTTCTCACCGAATCAGGAGACTGCTTCACATGGCTAGGAGTGATTTCTGCGGAGCTGGCATGGCGCCCCCATCTCGAAGCAATCACGCCGCACCGGAAAGTAAGGGGCCTCGCCCCCCGACCCCGCGGAAGAGCTGGATGAGTGCGACAATCATGTAGGCCGCCGGGACAAGCATTAGAATGTAGATCCTAAGTCGAGGGGTCTATTCTCAAAGCTGGCTCTGCCTTGCCGGCCAGCTGAACGAAACACACAAACGAAAAATCACGGAACCCGAATGCATCGAGGAGCCAGTAGGATACGTCCCTGGTAACAGCCCCGAGCCTCCCCACGTTCAAGCAAGCGTACACAAGTGCCCAGCACAGGTACCCGACGCGGCCGCAGAAGCCAAGCCTCTTCACCACGCAATACCAAGAACACCAGTTGAGGACCGCACAAAAGAGAAAGTCCAGCAAAGTGAAGATCACGCCAATTGTGAGGGATACCAGACGCAGTGTCAGAAGCTGCCCGATCCCCTGCAGTAGCCAGAACAAGAGGTGTTCCACAAAGAGCGCCCACACGTACGCCACGTTCCATCGCGCAAAAGCCAAGGCCCAATCCTCGTGCTGGCAGCCGAACATGCTGGAGGTCAGCATCGGCTTCGTCAGGAGCCGCACATACTCTCGGCTGGAGCTCGCCAGATCCGAGCCCCCGAGCTGGGCCATGGGCCAGAAAGGGCTGAAAAGGGCGGCCTTTCTAAGCAAGTATAGTTTTTCGAACGCTTCTGAGCCGCCATGCTGCGCCCGGTCCTAGTGTGGCCCCCGATTCTGCAGTGAACTGCAGGAATCCAAAGCCCCAAAACCCCGGCAAACCCTGTCAGAACCCTACTGGCCCAAACCCCCTCGAAACTCCCGTGGCTTCACTCCGACGCAGAGGGGACAAAGCACCAGCGCACTCCTTGAGCTCGGGCGTCTTCATACCCTCCTTCATCCGCTCAGCGGCTTTGTTCCAGTCCTTTGCGGCTTCAAGGAATAGAAATGAGAACCTAAACCCTAAACCCTAAACCGAAACCCGAACCCCTAAACCCTAAACCTGAAACCCTAAACCCTAAACCCTAACCAGGAATAGAAATGACTTTGGGATTCTTGGGCCTGGGAAATTTGGAATCACCTTTTGCAGCAGCGCTCTTGGTGAGCGTCTACGTAGGCTTGTCTGCTACAACTTTTCTCCCACTCGTTGCAATGCGTGCTGAGCCGAGCAGCTGGGAAGAGCTCCTCCACCGCCTCTTGTCGCAGAGCGCTGGAGAGCTCCCTAAGAACAGGGAAAGAGGCTGCGAAGGAACATTTCTAGGGCTTAGGGTTTAGGGCTTAGGGTTTAGGGTCTTGGGTGCAGAGTGTCGGCTTTAAAAGGGAATTTTATGGTGCCAGGGTCTCCCACGCCCCTATCCAGGGATCTCTTCTGGGACTTTGAGACCTTGCGGCCGAAGAGCCTGTCCGTAGATGCCAGAAGCAGCACAGAAGCGTAGAAGACCAACCTCGTCGTCTTACGCAAACCAAAACCAAACGAGAACAAGAACCCCTACCAGTAGACCCCTAACCACACAGCAGAGAGCGCCCTAAACCCGGCGAGGGGCAGCGCCAGCCACCAGAAGAGCCGGACCCAGCGCAGTCGGGTGCAAAGCTCACGAGAAGGCACGCCCTCCGGCAGCGCGGCCGTCAGGACCAGCCTTGGGTTCGGGTTTGGGGATTCGGGGTTTAGGTTTCGGGGCTTTGGGTTTAGGGGTTTAGGTTTCAGGGTTTTTGGGCTTCGGGCTGAGGGGTTTAGAGTTTAGGGGTTTAGGTTTCGGTGTGTTTGGGCTTTGGGTTAAGGGGTTTAGGCTTCGGGTTTAGAGGTTCAGGGGTTCAGGCTTAGCGGCTGTGAAGCTAGCTTCAGGATTGGGCAGGGTTATGCAGCTCAGGGGCCCTAAGCCCGAAACACACCATGGAATCTAAACCTGAAGAGTCTCCCTACAAAGCCCAAACTCCCCCCCTAAATTCCCCTGAAGATCCTAAACCCCTAAGACCCCCCCTAAACCCAAATCCCCCTAAAAGCCCCAAACCTAGATACCCCTTTTCTTTTACAAAAGCCCGAAACCCAGAGTCCTAGCAAAGCCACGGCGAGAGCTCGGACCACTTCCAGCTGCTCTCCTCTTCATCAGAAGCTTCGGAGGCCTCCTCCGACTGTGACGGCTGCATATCCTCAAGAGCCACTTGGGGTTTAGGGCCGTTTAGGGTTTAGGGTTTAGGGCCGTTTTTGGGGTTTAGGCCACGGCCTAAAAGGCCTTCCGGATTTGGGGGTTCAGAGTGAAGCCTTGGAGCCTGGGCTCCCGGCATCTGGCTAGAGACTCGTCACCCGCCGTCACCGCATCATCGCAAGAACCTCGGAGACTTCAGGGAATCCACCGAAGCATCTGAGTCTGGCACCTGCGTGCTGCTGGGGAGCTTTTCAAACCACGGGGGAAAACTCCAAGACTCGAGCCATACAGAGCAGTGACACAGCAACAGCCATGTGCATTCAGGAGGATGCCCCATCCCTCAGACTCTGAGGAAAACTCGAACCCGACTTGAAGCACCTTCCCAATTCGGCCTGCTTCATGCGCTGGTGTGCCTTCAGCATGGCCTGCTGTGCTGGCAGGGCGGCCCCTTCATCCTTCAGGGTGGCCAATCTCTCCGAAAATAGGACGGGCACAGGGAGACTCCCATTCGCCTGCAAGGCCTGTGCTTTACGCGCCATGGCCTGGGATTCGGAGAGCAAAACAGCAGAGAAGAAGATCCCAGGGACCCCTTTTGCCTGCGACTCCTCGGCAAGTCGGTCGACGGCATTCGCGGCCGCCCTGAGGTCTCACGGGGCTCAGAAGGAACGCTGCCGCGAGAGCCCTGCTGAGCTCGTGGCTGAGAGTGTGCAAGTGACAGCTGCACATTCTGCTGAGCTCGCTCGACGGCTGGCGCGAGGCGAAGACTCAAAGAACACACCATACCCCAAGATCCTTGAGCGGCTCCGCACCTTGCTTGTATGGCTCCTTGGCTTCCAATTTGCAATTTGTGCTTCCATGACTGACCAACATGGAGTCGAACCAAAACAAACTCTTTGCCATGTTGCGGCTGCAGCTGCTTGCTCTGCAGCCAGGCGCTCAGCTTGTGCCTTCATCCCAACAGATCCACCCCGAAGTTCCAACTCTGCTCCCATCATGAACAAGATACCCACCACTATTCCTTCCAGAGAGAAAGCCTCAAGCGCAGCCCTCCGCACCTGCTCCGACTCGACTGGCCCTGCAGCTCTTCCTGAGCAGTCTCAGGCCTACTCTGAGCCTTGCGAGGCAAGACCTGGACTATCTTCTAAGCACAGTCGGTCAGGGAGGAGTTGAAGGAGCAATCAGAAGAGCATTGGAAAAGGGGGAGGCTGCTTCCCAGACCCTGTTCTCGGAAGTAGGAGCACGGCTTTCTGCGGCCATGTAGGCTTCCTTCTGGACCTGAGCTCCAAAAAGCATGCGGCTCCCAGGCCCGAAGCCAAGAAACCGGGCATGACCCGCCTCCTCCTCGACGGCCTTGCCAACGGAGGCCGCCGCCTCCTGCGGCAGCTTCCTGACCAATTGAATCGGCGCACATGGGGGTTTCCGAAAATAGGGGACCCTAATATAGATCCTTATTATAAGGACCCCAATATAAGGTACCCTTACTATGGGAAACTCCCACATCAGCGCACTACTTTGAAGGGGTGCTCATGGCTGTGACAACTTTGGCCTCAACTCTGCAGCCGTCTGCTGAGCGTGCTTTGAGTAGGCCTGGGCCTCGGATTGCCATTGCTTAACGGCCCTTTGCCCCAACTTCCTCAGCCGCAGGCCTGCGCAGCCCATTCTCGTGCCTTGTGGAGCTCCTGACGACCGTCTACGGTTCAGGGTTTAGGGTTTAAGGACCTTCAAAAGCGAATTCCATGGCGGCTTGCTGTCATCAGCTCCCCCGCTCCGAGAGGCCTTCTGAATGGCGGCTTCCGCATCCGGCTGCTTTGCCAAGAAGTCGGCGCTCTGCGCTGCCGCGTCCTGGCAATGCATGCAAGGCTTTCGCTGTCCTTGCCCCGGAGGCTAGGACTAGGAATTTGAAGCCATCCCTGCTCGTGGCCAGCTTCCTACTTTTGTTGCCTTAGCTGCGAGCTGCTGCTGGGCCGAGAGCATGGCCTTGGCACGATCAAAAAGGTGTCTACAAATCAGGACGGGAGCGAAGGCAAATACCCCGCAACGTGACCAGCTCATTCCTCTCACTCAGTTCATGCTGCTATTGGGCAAAACCGATTGAGGTGCAGATCTGGTAACAGTTAGGCTCCTGGCATCGTGGCTTGACTTCGAACTTTGTTCCGCGAGTCTGGCAACATTTACCTGCCGGGGACTCGACACACGCCTACCCCTGTGGGTGATCATCGTGCTCCACCCGAAGTTGCGAAGCAAGACCTGAAGATCAGGACAAACACCCACAAAGCGCCCTCCAGATGATGGCTTGCCGTGCCCTTCCCTCCTTGCAAACAAGCCAAGGAAGCATGCTGCTCGGCCGCTTTCAGCATTTGTTCACCAATCCACGGCATCTCAGCACCTTCAACGCTTTCCAAAATGAATGGGCCAACCAACATGTCCGCCGTGCTTGGTGCTTCGTGTGTCCTGTTTGTTGACCGTTAGTGATAGTGTCAAAAACCATAAGACAACACGGAAGGATGGACGTCAGCTCAGCGAAGCTCAGATCGACAGAGGCCGAGCCCCCTGCCTGGAAGAGCTGGCCGTCGGAGCACACCAGCATAGCCTTTCAACTCACAGAGCTCTCCCCAAAAAGTCCCCAAACCCTGCAGTCGCTGGCTGCCTTCTCGCAGCAGAGCTACGCAGAGCCACGCAGAGAACCTGCGGCAAAATCGGTGGATCCAAGTCCAAAGGCTCTCTGCTCTTTGGGCCGCCCCAAGGCCCCTGAAAGCCCCTTTTAGAACCCAAAAAAGAAATAGAGCAAAATAGAGCAAAGGCCCTCAAAGTGAGCCCTGCCCGAGCCCTGAAAGCCCTCTGAGGGCTGGGCTTCATCGCGCGCGGGACCCCCTGAACTTCGGGGGGGGGGGGGGGGTNNCCCTAAACCCTAAACCGGGGGGGGGCCGCACGATCTGCGGATCTTGGGCTCAAGGCCCTTGAGCCACCAAAAAGGAGAGCGAGGGAAGCTGAAGCAAAGCAGGGACTTAGGCTTTTGGGGTTTGGGGTGTCACGAGGGCTTAGGGTTTTGGAGTTTGTTTCAGGTTTAGGGTTTAGGGGTTTGGGAGTTCGGGGTAGCATCACACAACCGTCCTTACTTTTATCCCATCTCTCCTGCGCATCCTGCGCCTATCTCATGGAAAATGCACACAGATCGTTAAACGGCTACTGATATTTCCCAGCAGCCATTGTGTACCGAAGTCTCTCATGCCCCAGCCTGCTACTTCCAAGTCTCAGGAATGGCTGCCAGGGACAAGGAGGGCCGACTAGCGGCTGGCTAGCCACGAGGCCCGCAGGGTGAAACCTACTTCCGGCGGCCTTAGCAAGCTTTTGGTCGCAAGGCTCCAAGCCGGAGGAGCTCCATGTCATTGTGGCAGACACGACACTTAAGGGGCCACAAGGATATGGATATATATATATATATATATGTATTAGGGTTTAGGGTTTAGGGTTTAGGGTTGCGCTCTTAGAATCAGAACTGATCCTCTTCACCACAGGAACCCCGCGATGCACAATGGCAGTGGAGAACGCCAGCGGTCACTAGTTCTGTAGTGAGGCTGGGGAAGCTGCCTCCGCGAAAGAAACAGACCGTGCCTGGCAAACACATTCATGTACACCGGGCACGCAGTGGTGCGGTGATGCCCTTCGTGCACCAGTCGGAATGGAGCTTGAAAATGCCAAAAGGGGCCCAGACAGCTACTAGGTGTTGCGGGAGTGAAAGAGCTGCACACAGGGAGAATCTTGACAGAGGTGTCATCTCATGATTTGCCAATCGTCTGTCTGGGCTGGACAAATTACTGCGGATCTGGTTGAGGGGCTGGCCTGATCATGCCAGACACGCCCTCATCTTCTGAACTTAAGAATAAAGGAGGCAGGAGAAGCTTCCTCAACCTGTTGAAAGATGTCACTCTGACTGAGCGCTGCCAGCTCTTCGCCACCCTCCGTTAGAAAAAAGCTCAAGTTTGTTGCATCGCCTCTCATTTCACCTGGCAAGGGCAGAGACACAGGGACATGAACATGAATGCGCCCTGCAATTCCCGGACGTTGGCCGTCTCCCCCCTCGCCCCCCCAAACCCTCAACCCTAAACCCCAAACCCCAAACCCCAAACCCCCCCCGGCGCCTACTCATGCCAGGCCAGAGATCTCTGCCCCCCCTCGGGCGGCTTGAGCAGCCCGCATCCTTAGCTGCAGACACTTTGGGGTTTTGGGTTTAGGGCTTAGGGTTTAGGGCTTAGGGTTTAGGATCTAGGGTCCAGTCAGCATATGAATTTTGGAAAAGGCCAAAGATTGGTCGGAGGCATGTCGACGGTGGGGACGGAGCAGGGAGGACATGGCAAGACGTACCAATCCTCATTTGCTTCCAGGGCGCTGCAAGCGGGTATTCTTCGAGGGGCGAATCCTTTTGTTCTTCTGGCCTTGCATAAACAGTAAGACCATAGATTCCGACAGAGAATGTACCATGCAGGGGCCAGCCTGGGTGCCGGAAGTGGCAAAAGTCACAAATAATGCCCTTGTTGCAGAAGGTCTGCCCACAGGAGTCTTTGCATGTAGCATGATCCTGACTGAAATTTACTCCGTAATTGCCTCGCCTTATCCTTGAACCAGAAAATGCAAGGATTGCAGTTGTCTGGATGTAACCTGCTTCCAAGGGAAGCACGCTCACCTGTCGCGAGTTTAGCAGGCAAAGTCAGGCGAAGTCGTGACAGGTTCCGTCTCCTTGCCTTCATCGTTGAAGGGAATCTGGGAAAGAAGTGCATCTTCGTCGGATGGCTGTGAAACGCCGGTGTTCTGCTGCCTCAAACCGCTGCCCAGATCATAGCCCATTTTATAGAAACATGGCTTGCAATCGAAAGATCGAAAGTTGAGACCACTGAGACCAACACCCAGCCAGCTGCTGTTGAAGTCGCTGCGTCTGCACTTGAAGCTGCTGCATCTGGCACGCGATGGCCCAGAACGACTGCTGGGCCCGTGTCGTTGCAACTCAGACAAGACCCCTTGCCTGCTGCTGCAGCTGCAGCTGCTGCATCCTGGGACTGGCGCACCAAAGCAGCCACGAGAGACCCATCCCAAAATGCCAAGGCGCTGCGACTCCAGCAGTTGGTGGTGCAGCTGCTGCTCCGCGACATTCGCAGAAGCTGAGCTTGGCCCCCTGGTGGACACGAGGAGAGGACCAACGAATGAAAAGCGGGAGCTATGTCCATGCTTTCTTCGGGATGCGGCCCGGGTTGGAGTTGGAGGTCGCCACCAGGTGCGACTGCCTCCGACAGACCCCCCAAAAAAAGCACTTGCCATCGCACACGAGCTCACAACACTTTAGCCAAAGTCGAAGAGCAGCAGCAGAAATTACGCCAAGGGAAAATCTGTTCTACAAGCGCCTGGCGAGGCCTCGAACCTCCGGAAAAAAAAGAAAAAAAACCTTGGAGTGGCCTGAGCCATAAAGTCCGACTTTGGCCTGAGGACGGAAGCAGCAGAAGCTCCACTGCGCCCTTCGGACAGACAGGGGCCCAGACACTGGGAAATTGGAAATCCGAAAAGCCGCGTCTGTGGAAGACGACCTCGGGAAGCGGCAGCGCTGTGGCGATGGGGCTTCTTCTCCCCTTAAACCCTAAACGCTAAAGCCTAAACCCTTTGTGATCCAAACCGGGGTCCATGCATTGGCATCTGGGCCAGCTCGGGATGCCTAAGAGACGAAAGAAACCAAGGCCTTCCCAAGAATGCTTTGGAAAAGCCGGCGCGAACCGGGCTCTGCTCTAGCAACAACGGACATATCACACAAAACCGCAGGACTCACACTCTAAGGCTTGAAAGGTTGGCCGAAGAGCTGATGGCTGGAGCCTGCTCGCGTGGCCCTCAGAGAGAGCAATGAGTGCATGATTCTTTTTTTCGAATCGGTTGTGGGTTTAAAGTTTAGGGCTTTCGGAGCTCAGAAGACTCAGAAGTCAATCTGAGAAGTCGGCGTCAGCTTCTGGAGCTCGGCCTGCAAAGATGTCGCGGGAAAGGCAACAGTGGGAGGTTCTTGGTGCCCTCTGCCTGCATCTTCACAAGGTCCATGTCCAGGAGTCCGGTACCTTCTTGTGGAAGCCTCGGCTTTTCTGTGGAACTGCCCCGGTCTGTTGCTCTCTGCATCCCAGCCGCATGTCGCCAGTGTAGTTTCCTGGAGCTTGCCCGGTCCTTGCAGTAGCCCATTTGCAATGCAGGACTCCACATTGAAGGCCCACTTCAAACGCTTCGGCCAAGCATCATTCCGCCCTGAAGGTTGGGCTGGGCTGCAGCAAACTGCTGCAGACTGCCATCGAACATGCCAGGCGGCCGCGGCCTCAGATGCTCAAAAAACGCTGGCGATCTCCGGAACATTGGCAAAAAAAGGCCCTTCCGTAAGCCGGCCGCATGGAGGCGCCAAAGAAATTCCCAGGCGGTCGATGCGCATGCCTTCCACACCGGCGTCAAAAAGCGCAGCACACCACGGGAAAAAGTCGTTCTCTGGCAAGTTCAGAGCTGCTTCACGCACATAGACTGTTTCAAAGGCCTTGGACTTGAAAGCTCCAGGTCAAGGGAACCGTCAAAGGCCGCTCTAGTAGAGTTTCGAACTACCCAAAAAACCTAGGCGAAGCCCGGACTGAATTCAGACGCCATCCAAAGGCAAAGGCAAAGGCAGAAACGAAGCAGTTCCCCTCATTCGGCCCGAGCGTCTCCATGGACAGCCTGCTGTGGGGAACCTCGGAGATCTTGGAAGCAAGCCGCATCAAGCCGCCCCAAGCTGTCCCGCACACCCCTCAAAATCCTGAATAGCCCTCCCTGAATTGCTGACAGGTTTGCCCAAAAGCCACTAAAACCCTAAAAACAACAAACCCTAAACCCTTCAACGCCGACACCCCCCCCCCCTCCCCCCCAACCAATGCAGGCCAAGCCAACTCCCAAGTCATCCGGCGCAGGAACATGATTCGGCCTTGTGACACCGAGGCTTGCAGTAGCCCTAGTTGAGGGAAGCTACAGGTGGGGAGTTTAGGGTATATAGGGCTTCTATAAGGCTTCTGTGAGGTATATAGACCTTCAAGAAGGCTCCCATAACGGTAACTGCCCACCTGAAAATGTCCTAGACCTAGGGGTTGAGGATTTAGGACTTCGGCTTTAGGGCTTGCTGGGGTTTGAGACATCGGCGAATCTTAAACTGCAAGCAAGCAGCATGTCTGTTCCAGAGAACCTCGGGACAGCGTCTGACTTGGGACCCTAAACCCCAAAACCCTATAAACCCTAAACTCGAAACTCCTAAACCCTAAGCCACTCTTACAAACACGGGGTAAAAAGCCAGGACACGGCCGCTGCCGAAGAAAATCCTCAGACAACATCGGGGGGGAGTTTTGAGAAGAGCAGGGCCTTGGCCTTGGGCTTCGGGTTTAGGGTTTGGGGTTTATAGGGTTTAGGGTTTGGGGTTTAGGGTTCAGGGTTTGGGGTTTAGGGTTTAGGGCTTAGGGTTTGGGGTTTAGGAGATTAGGGCTGAGGGTGTAGGGTTTAGGGTTTGGGTTTAGGGTTTGGGGTTTAGGGCGTAGGGCTTGGGGTTTAGGAGTTTAGGGCTTAGGGCTTGGGGTTTAGGGTTTGGGGTTTGGGGTTTAGGTTTCCGGCCAGCATGTTTGGCCCACCCACGCACCCACCCGCGCCACAGTCCCACAGCCTCCTTCAATGGAATCTCTCCTGGAGCCCTGGAACACGGGAACGGGAGCTTGTCGATCTTCGGGGGCTTAGCTGACAGTTTAGGGGTTTAGGGCTTAGGGGTTTAGGGTTTAGGGTTTAGGGGACAACATTCCATCAGTACTTGCTTCGATCGCGCGACCTGCCTCCCCAACATGTGAAGGCATTCAGGCATGCACGGAGAGCGGGCATTTCATTCCTGATGTGCGCACCCTCCCAACAGAGTCTTAAGATCGAAGTCGCCGAAGTGCGACAGAAGCTTTGCAAAAGATCTAGCAAGGGGTTCCAAAGTCTCGAACACGGGACGAAGGGAATCAAACACGAAAGAACCTTAACCACACGTCTTCGCGACACGACGCTTCAACGCAAGGTTGAACCCCGAGTCGGGAGCATGGCAGGAAAGTGGCCCAGTTTCAATCCTCGGTCTCTCAACGATGTTGGGCGTTTAGAAACTCGGAAGCCCCAACCAAAAACCCTAAACAGTAGGAACCTTGAGAAGGACCTCTGAAGACAGGCAAATCACCCCCTCCCGTAAGAAGCCCACAGCTGGCTTTGATCCAAGCCGCCTGGGGAGGCCGCATGCTCTGTCGTGATCCCTGCACGCACAAAGTTGTACGGCGCGTCGGGATTCAAGGTTTTGGGGGTCGATTCTGGCATCGGTATCCTGATGAGAAGGATCCTGCCCTCAAGGCAAAAAGCCAGCTGCCCAAAATGCCGCTACGGTATCGGCTGGCTTGGCCTCTGTCGCCCGGCTTCTGCCGTACACCTTGAAGCAGGTCGTTGGTGTTAAAAGGCAGGGGTTGAGTTGGGCAGTTAGGGTTTCCGCCAAGGAGCCATGTGATAGGGCCCCGCTGGGCCATGCTCAATGAGGTGGCTATCCTCAATATCCTCTGCGTCACTTCTGGACATGACACCTGGCAGAGGAACTTACGACTCTGAGCCATCATGGCTACCTGAACTGCAACAAGAAGACACACATCCGGCTTGACGTCGAGAGTTCCAGAGCTTCCGAGCAGACAATGCCAAGCAGCTGGAGTTGGAGCGGCTCATGGAATCCTTGCGCCTTGAGCAAAGTGCATTCCCCTTCAGAGTGCAGGGCCCAGGAACCCCAGTGCGACCAGGTGGCTGTGGATACCAGAAAAGCACGGAGCTCGCACTTGAGGTGCAGTCGAGTTTGCCTGAGGATTGGAAGCCGCAGGCTGCTCTAAGCTGCTACTTGCCCTCACCCTGTAGCAGAGGTGCTGTCGCTTGCGGACCGCGCGAGTGTTCGTGGTGGGTCCTCATCCGGTTCTTCGTCGTAGCCCCCTGCGAGCGCCCAACAGTTGCCGTAGCCAGAACAGCCTGGACTGGACCCCCGGCCTATAAATGTGTTCTTGATCACCAACTTCATCTGGCCAAAGGACGCGTTGTCGCTATTTTTCGATGACTGAGCAGGAGACTCACCTGACAGAGCAAGAATTCAGAAAGGCTCTGAAGACAGGAGTGTGCAAAAAATGACATCCCTTTACCTTATTACCATTATTATTGCTGTAATTATTCTTGCTATTAGTCTTGGTATTATTGTTACTATTTCTATCAGTACTAGTCTTATTCTTATTCTTATGAATATTGCTATTACTATTATCATTTACCTTATTACCATTGTTCTTGCAGTTTTCTTCTTACTATTATGATTATGAAGATGACTGTGATTGTAATTGTTGCAGCTCTCCGCCTGAACCAACAGATCTCGCGGAGTCGAGCTGTGGCGCCTCCGCCTCCACGGGCTCATTTTCCTGACAACAGAATGGTGGTGGTGGTAGTGGTAGTGGTAGTGGTAGTGGTAGTGGTAGTGGTAGTGGTAGTGGTAGTGGTAGTGGTAGTGGTAGTGCATTGCATTGCACTCGCTGC